CCCCCCTCAGCCCCGCCCCCGGCAGCCCGTGGCCCCAGCCCGGCCCCCACCGAGCGGAGTGTCCACTGAAGGGCCGCTCGCTGGCCACCTGGCCAGCCGGCCGGCCGGCAACGCCTGGCAGCCTGTAGTCCTCTGGACTTCAACTTACGGGGCTCCTGGTGTGTCACTCATTCAGTCATTTATTGGTCCTGTAAATACTGAGCGCCTTAGATGAACCTGATGGCTCGGTCTCTGCCATCATTTAGCAATATACGTCGTTTTCTTAAATCCTAGACCAAGATACACTTCTAAATATGCTGGGCGGGCCTGGGAACGGCGGGTCACCTGTGCAGGTCACTTCACCGCTGTTTGTTTATCTGAAAAATGAGGAACGTGGACCATGTAATCTATTAAAGACCTGTGTAAAATTACGGGATTCTCTATCACCATGCCAGTTTAACTAACACCTGTTCTCGGGGCTTGATGGAAGTTTTTAATTTTTAGGGTAAGGACAGCTGAACGGAACAAAAATAGAATAATGTGACTTCACTGCTGGAAGGACTTTACTTGGCTGTCCGAATTTGTCTCCAGTTATTAGTCGGGTAGCTTGGGGAAGTCAGTTCACCTCTCTGCTTCAGACCCTCCTCTGTGAACCAGGAGTAATAGCAGGGTCTCCCTCATAGGGCTTTATTGCGGGTTACATGAGATAAGACTGATCAGATGTTTAGCGCAGTAAAGTGCTCGAAAAAACGGTGGCTTTTATGTTTAAATGGTTTATCACCTGGACAGTTGTACATATTTACGTTATTTGTGAAAACCTGCTTGTGATGAACAAGCAGGTAGAGGACATTACCTGTTTGTTCATCACAAATGAAAAAAATAAGAAATGGGCTTTTCAGTTCAATTTTTCGAATGTTTGAGCTAATTCCCATGCAGTTGTAAGAAACAATAGAAATCCTGTATACCCTTTCCCCAGTCTTCCCCGATGATAACATCTTGTAAAACCATAGGATAGTATCACAGCCAGGAAACTGACACTGACACAGCCCATTATTCTTATTCAGAGTCCCCCAGTTTTACATTTGTGAGTATTTAGTGCTATATAGTTTTTATCACATGAGAAGATTCTTGTATCCACTACAGTCAAGCTACAGCACAGTTCCATCACCACCAGGATCTCTCCTGTTGCCCTTTTATAACTACACCTCCCTTCTGCAGGACACCCTTTTCCCTATTCTCTTCTCTCTTTCTAAAAATATGTCATAAGAGAATGTTATATAAACAGAATTATATAGTATATAACTTTCTGGAATTGGTGTTTTTCACTCAGCATAATCCCTTGAGACCTATTCAACTTGTTGCATGTATTGCTACTTCATTCATTCTTATTGCTGAGTTCATGGTGTGGATGTACCACAGGGTGTTTAACCATTCACCACTGAAGGACAGCTGAGTTATTTTTAGTTTGTAGCTATTTCGAATAAAGCTGCTATGAAAATTAGTGTACAGCTTTTTTGTGTGAGCCTGTTTTTGTTTCCCCCGGATAAATGCCCAAGAGTCCAATTGCTGGGTCATATGACAAGCACATGTTGAGTTTTGCAAGAAACTGCTAAACTGTTTTCCAAAGTGTCTGTACCATTTTACATTCCCACCAGCAATGTTGAATGATCCAGTTCCCCCTTAGTGTCACCAGCTTTTGGTACTATCAGTATTTTTTATTTTAACCAATGCATAGGAGGTAGTTGATTGTTACTAGGTTGAGTACAGGATTATACAAATGTCAGGTCTGTGGTCAGGCTTTCATGAGTCAGCCCATAGTAGTGATTTTTTTTTACTACTCTGTGATTTTTGAGCATGTGCTTCTTAGTTTAGCCTAGTGAAGGAACTCAAAATACACATGCTCTTTTTATAAAATTTTCTCTGCTTACCCTCTCCCCTAGGCTTGACTCTATATTAATTTGTTTCAGTTAGATAATCTCAAATCAGGAGCTCACCTTACATTTATTCACCCTGTGATATCTTTGGCTAGAGACACCTGCACCACCCTCCTCAGCTAAGAATTCATCTTCACCTTCCATCTAGGTCAGAACCTGTAAGAAGCTAGCTCAATGAGTGTCAAATGATACTGGCTTTTGGGACCTTTGCTTCTAATTCCTAATGAATTGCTCTATTGTTCCATTTCACTAGACTCTACACACTTAAGGAATAAGAATTGGCATCAATGATAGATGATTTGCAGTGAAGTGGGGTTATCATTTGGGGAGAAAACCCCCCAATTCTGGTACCACCTCACCCTTCTCTCCACACTTTTACCACCCTCAACTTGTTGGCTAGTTCAGTCTTTTCGAGCACTAAATTAGCCATCACTTTGAATAGCCCACCTAAGTCATTACATTTACTATGTAAAAAAAGAACTTCCATTTAAAAAAAGAAAAAACTTGTCATTTTTCAGATAGGGGGACTCTCAATCAAACCTACTCAAACACTTTGTACATAACCTATTTTGAGTTACATGTTAGAGGTCTGGCCTTCTCTAAGTCACAAATATAATAGCAACTTTTAGAAATACTTGCTACAGACTTAAACCTCTAAGCCATGTTGTGATAGTAAGAAAACTTCTAAAATAATTTTAATTCCTGAAACATAGTGGTAATTTTATAGTGGTTATTTTTTAACTGGCTTTTAACTAGTTTAATTCATTGGAGCTAAATTCACTGACTCACCACCAGAGGTCTCCTCTTTCCCTAAAGAAAGCATTCTCCGAGGAGGCTGCTGCTTGAATTCATCTGAAATTCCTAAATATCAATTAGCAAAGTTGCAAATGTAAAAAGCTACCAATTAATTTTTTTCATTTATTGTCAAGTGTTTTCGTTTATTTTTTTCATTTATTGCCAAGTTTTTTCACTTATTGCCAAGTTAATTTTAGTGTTAAAAATATTGTGAATACAATACCTAATTTATAGACATCATAGCTGAAGTAAATTTGGTCTTTCCCTTAAGCTGAAATACAAGGTAGGCCAAAATGAATCAAGTGAAAGTACTTCAATTTTCACAGACCACTTTAATTTACCTGCTTACCGACAGTGTCTCTGGTTTTATCTTTCTGCATGAAAATGTATCAGTTGCCAAATATTTATTAAACTCTTGCATCAGGGGATGGTACTGTGCTGGGTGCCAAGAAAAATGGAAATGAATAATATGTGATTCTTGGTTTGCTTTTGCTCTGCATACTTATCTTTTTTCTTCCTAACTGGAAACTCTTAATCATCCTTTGAGACTTATCTCAAAAAACACCTCTAGTGTGAAGCCTTCCCCTCAGTCCCTTCTCTAGGCTCTCACAGAACTTGTCCATACCTCTATTAAGACATCATGATGCATACTATTTATTTGTTTATATGTCTATACATATATAGTACATATACTTTATATTCTATGAGGACAGGAACATGTCTTTCTCTGTCTCCTTTGTTTTCTTTTTTTTTTTTATCTTACTATTGAGTCTCTTGCACCAAGTATAGCAAACATTCAGTAAACATTTATTGCGTAAATGAATGAATGCATGGAGATGGCATTTGAGTAAGGTCTTGAAGCTGGGGAAGATTTCCATGGGATTCAGGGTGGAGAGCGGAGCAGGGAGGGACAGTAAATGAAGGAAACAGCCAGAGTTGAAACTAGAAAGCCCAGATTTGTAAATAAGGTTGGCAGCCAAAGGAGTTAACTGAGGCGGACACAGGTGGAAAAAGATTTAACAAAAAGCTGGAGAGGGCTGAGCGTGTGGAAGGAGACAGTAGGGAGAGAAGTTGGCAGTAATGAAGGCAGAGGGATGGTGGAAAACGGATAAAGAGGGTAATAGATGATCCCAAGTTCTGTCCTGAGACCTTAACTCTCACTGTTCCACAACCTCAACATCCTCAGGCACTTCCTCAGCAATCAGGTGGTTCTCACACAGGCCTCTTTCTAGTCCTCTTCTTTTTCCTGAGTTCTAGAACCATCTAATGACTGAGGAAAGAACGCTGCACTCGTAAGAGAGAGAACTAGGTTCATGTTTCAGTGCTGCTAACAATTAGCCATGAAACATTGGGCAAGTTCTTTTAAACACGTGCATTTATTAATATCCCACATTGTTCCAGAAGGGATTTACAGTGTCAGCAAGTTAATATCAGGGCTTCAGTTTCCTCATCTCCGAATGAGAGGTTTGGGCTAGGTGATCCAAGTTCCTATCTGCTGTACCATTTTGTGACTCTGATTCTAATAATTTGTTGGTCATCATCTCCACCTAGAAATTCTGCCAAAACTTCATATTTAGAATATGAAAAACTGGGGAGAAAAAACCTGAATCCACAACCCTGTCCTTCTGACATTGTTATGTGTTAATGGCATCACCAACCTACTAGTGAGCCAGGATCAAAACCTTAGTGTCATCGTCAACTCCTCTGGCCCTTGTCTTGACATCTCATTTACTGAGTCATGAGGAACCCAACTCTGCAATGTCATCTCCATTCTCCCCCAACTTGGCCCCTTCCCATGGCCATATGTAGTTGAAGTTCTTGATGGTTGTCTCTCTGTCCCATTCTACTGACCCTCAGCCTTGATGCTGCTGTCTGAGTAATATTCCTGAAGCATAGTTCTAACAATTCCAGAGTTCTGTGCTAAATTCTCAGTGACTCCCAGCCACCTGCAGAATACATATTCTCTGACCTTGGGAGACCCTTCCCGATGTAAGTGTGACAGTGTTTGCCTCTTCTCATGACTCCTGAGCTAAGCAAACTGAACCACAATGTACCTTAAACATTCCTGCCTCAGCTAAATCATCCAACCTACCTTTCCCGGGCATCTTTGTTGAAATCCTTGTCTGTCTTTAACTTTTTTGAGGTATTTTTTAGGTTCTATTATCTATTTTAACTACCTAGTAACTTGTTTTAGCTCACTCTACCTTGCATTAAATTGTCAGCTCCTCAAAGTCAGAGACCATGTTCCATTTATCTTTGTTTTTCCCCCACCTGGCACACTATTAGAAAAACTTTGAGATAAATCGGGTTGAGACTCAGTTCAGAAATCACTTTCTCAACTTACGGTTATGGATTTTTACAGCTGGAAATTATTTTACAGCTGGAAAATTTTTACAGTAGCAAATCATCTCATTTTATAAACGAGAGGTGAAGCGACTTGCCCAGTCTTTACCAGCTGCCTTGGCACAGTTCTTTGTCTGCACTGTTCTGGAGACGCTGCTTGTAGCTTTGCCATAGGAATATCTGTTTGCGTGGTTCCTCTTCCTTTCCAAATACGTGTCTTAACCTTGACACATTGCTCCTTAGGTGATTTTAGTTTGTCATTTTGATACTGGAAATGTAGATTGGGAGTGAATTTAGTAAATCTGTAGAGGCACTGCCTGAATGGACACCAGGTGGCACCACTGCAGGTGGACTCCAACTGAGGATTGAATAAATGGAACTTAACGTCAAGGCTGGAAGGAACCAATAGGGACCATCCAGTTCAGCCTCTTGTTTTACAGTGAAAAAAAAAAAAAATCAAGAAACAGACTGGAGTAACTTGCTCAATAACTACTGAGTGGCAAGTGAGTCATCAGCTTTACCAGCACAAGAGCATTGATTCTGAAGTTGTGAAGTAAGTTACTATATGGATGGGACTCTGATTGCCAGCTGGTGATCTAATATGAATACTGTTTTATGTGTCTAGATCAATGATGCTGTTTGGAAATATTTCCCGGCAGTTGTGTGGCTTAAAGAAACTCCCGTGGTCATGTGACTCCAGATACTTCTGGGGCTGGTTGAATGCAGTGTTTAATAAGTAAGTTACTCTAACTAAAGTGAAGAAAAGTGGGGATTGTTACAGTTTGATAAGTTTCCAATAGTTAATTTCGTTATTATATCTCAAATGGTTTTTGTGCAGTGAGTGCAGTATGATTCTAATTTTCTTTTAAAACAAACAAATAAAACATACACACAAGCATTGAATAAAGACTAAAAAAAATAGATTACAGAATATTATCTATGACTGCCTGGGTTGAAGAACTTCAGTAATTGTTATTCATCCTTTCAATGCCTTTCAATTTTCTAAAATGAACATGTATTACTTTTATAATCAGAAAAATGTAATTTTCAGTAAATGTAATTTTAGAATATTTTATTCTATGGCTTCTTAAGGAATGTAGTTAACCTTTTGAATCCTATCAAGGGAACTCAAGTTTTTAAAAAGTTACTTGGTGGCATGCTTAGAAATATTTTGAAACTGATGAAACTAACCTCATTGCTTAGTATAGCATTAATACTACTAACTAGAGAAAAAGGCACGTGTAGGAATTAATAAATATCATTTAATGACATTAATTTGAACAGGGGCTCAAAATTATTCCCTCTTCAATCTTTTATCATCAATAAAAATAACCAAGTCTAGTCATTCATTCAATATATACTTACTGAGTCCCTCCTGGTGTCAAGCTACTGTGCTGCATACGAATCAATGAAGACTTGTGTTTGCCTGATAAACTCATATAAAAACGAGATGCCTTGACTGAGTTCACTTGGAAACAAGAACAAAAGCAAAAAAGGTTGCAGGCAGAGCCACTGAATGTTTTCTTTACACAGATTTCACTCATATACTTGTCTCCCTCCTCGCCATTTGAAGTGAAAAGTGGTTGGTTATTCTGTATTTACATTGGTGAACATAGTTACAAAGCTAGTGATTACAGTAAAAGCTGCCTTCGTTTGTTCTCTTGCCAACAGAGTGGATCACGATCGTATCAGGGATGTCGGCCCTGACAGGGCGGCGTCCGAGTGGCTGCTGCGCTGTGGGGCCATGGTACGCTACCACGGCCAGGAGAGGTGGCAGAAGGACTACAACCACCTGCCCACAGGCCCTCTGGACAAGTACAAGATTCAGGCGATTGATGCCACTGATTCTTGTATCATGAACATTGGATTTGATCACTTGGGTAACTCCCCTATCATTTGTTATGGGAAATGCAGGTGATTTGCAGTGACATTCGGTTGCAGTTTACTATTATCGTCAAAAGTGGCTCCTTTTTGCCCTTTTCAGCCCAATCCAGTTTGTTTCTTCCTGTGTCTGATATTTATTTTTAAATTAAATAGAAGTTACAAACACCTTCCTCTACTTTCTTCCTGCACTAAGCTTGTCTCTACATGCCTTTATTCTGTGATTTATTGACTTAAAATTCAAGGCTTTGTCAAACTATCTTTGCCAAACTTCTGTCATTGAGAAACCTTCAACAATGTAGAAATAATTATATCCACAGAGCTTCTGCTTGTGTGGGCATTTCTTCCCTCCAGTGCATGGGCATGTGACTGCAGAATGGCCCTGTCTGTCAGCACAACCTGTATAGTGAACACCTTGTATGGGTGACTAATCGTTCCAGGTTTCCTGGGACTAAGGTTTCCTAGGACTTTCAATCCTAAAACTAGAACAGTTCTGGGGAAACTAGGACAGTTGGTCATCTTAACGGTAAAGTAGGTTCTTCAACTTTTTTTCTCCCCAGAGTGCCTACAGCATGTTGAAAAAATAAGGCTATGCAAGTGTCACTATATTGAAGATGGCTGTTTGGAGAGACTTAGTCAACTTGAAAATTTACGAAAAAGCCTATTGGAAATGGAAATAATTTCATGTGGGAATGTCACAGACAAAGGTATCATTGCTTTGCATCATTTAAGGTAGGTGCTCAGTGCCAAAATGGAAACTTGGTAATGATGTTGATGTGAATAATCAGAATTTAAAAGTTGAGAGGGTGGTGTCTTTTTTTTTTTTAAGTTCTGAAAAACAAAATTTAAGAAAATGACTTACCTTTCATTATAAACTTCATATAATAGTTTAAAACAGTTTAAATGATCAACCTTAATATATTATGGTTTTATTGCACTTTTTAGGGAGCACTTTTTAAAAAGTTTCATCTATGTAAAACACCTAGCATGGTGCCTGTTACAGTAAGCTCTCAATAAGCATTAACTATTATACCTTCTCCCCATCTTTTAAAACAGTTTCCCCCATGTTCTGCCAATAACCTCAGCATCACTGAAAGTTTGAGAAATTTTAAACGTTAGAACCAAAAGTACCAGACTGTTTATCTCTTACATTAGTTGAGGCTTTAAATCTTCAGCTTTTAATTGAAAGGAGTTCCTTTAAGTTCCTTTCCCAATTTCGTTTCCTTCCTAGGTTAAGATTCATATTTTTTAAATTCAATTTATTTAAACTAAAAACAAAAATATGAACAGTTCACTCATTTCTCCCACTCCCCACCTCCTGCCTCTGGCAACCACCAGTCTGTTCTGTACCTGTGAGCTTGGTTAGAGTTTCCACATATGAGATAACATACATTATTTGTCTGAGTTACTTCACTTAGCATAATGTCCCTGAGGTCCATCAATGTTGTCGCAAATGGCAGAATATCATTCTTTTTTATGGCTGAATACTATATTGTCTATATATATATATATATATATATATATATATATATATATATATATATATATATACACCACATTTTCTTTATCCATTCACCCATCAGTGGATACTTAGGTTGTTTCTGTATCTTGGCTATTGTAAATAATGCTGCAATGAACACAGGGGTGCATACATCTTTTTGAGTTAGTGTGTTTGTTTTCTTCAAATACCTAAAAGTGGAATTGCTGGCTCACATGGTAGTTCTATTTTTAATTTTTTGAGGAACCTCCATGCTGTTTTCCATAGTGGCTACACCAGTTTACATTCCCACCAATAATAGTGCATAAGGATTCTCTTTTCTCCACACCCTCACCAACACTTATTTCTAGTCTTTCTGATAATAGCCATGCCAACAGGTGTGGAGTGATATCTCATTGTGGTTTTGATTTGCATTTCCCTGATGAGTAATGATGCTGAGCATCTTTTCATGTACCTCTTATCCATCTGGACGTCTTCTTTGGGAAATGTCTATTCAGATCTGTTGCCTGCTTTTAAATCAGATTGTTTGTTTTTTTGCTATCAAGTTGTATGAGTTCTTTATACATTTTGCTTATTAGTCCCTTATCAGATATGATTTGCAAAGATTTTCTCCCATTCAGTAGGCTGCCTTTTCATTTTGTTGATGGTTTCCTTTAGGGGTCCAGAAGCTTTTCCATTTGGTTATTTTTGTCAGATTCAAAAAATCATTGACAAGACTGATGTCATATTTTATATTTAACATGCAAAGAAGTCCTATTCCACAGTATACATATTGTATTTGGAAAAACTCAGCAGAACTATTGATTCAGAACAACTGAACTTCCCAAAGTCTAGCTTAGTTCCTAGCATGAATTTCATTTAAAATAGTACTACTGTTCTAAAAGTCATTTTCAAAGTGTAGGGTGATACAAACACATTCTGTGTTTAATTTTTTAAAAAAGCAATAAAGCAAGTTTATTTTTAATGCTGTAAGAGTAAAGGCCAAATTAAAGTAACTTTTTGTAATTTCTCTTTTTGCAGAAACCTCAAGTATTTGTTTTTAAGTGATCTTCCTGGAGTAAAAGAAAAAGAAAAAATTGTCCAAGCCTTTAAGACATCACTGCCTTCTCTGGAACTAAAATTGGACTTGAAGTAAAATAATAATATTCAGTAAGTGTCTTATTTCAATTTAAAGTATCACTTGAAATTGTTGGTCCTGAACAGCAACAAATCTTATATAATCATCAACAGAACTGTAAGGATGTTACATCATGACATTCTAGAAGCAGAGCCCATCATGTAGAAAATAAACATTCAGACATGATTCACTGAAGTACTAAGTTGGAAGTGAGAATTTATGTACGTTAAATCATTTTAAGAAAAATGAAAACCAGGTACTATTTTAATTCTAATATAGTCCTCATTTTGTATAGATATCTGTACAGGTATCTCTTGATGTAGACATTTTAAAATGATTCAAATGTACAACACATTCTTTAACAGTAGTTTATGTTAGATTTTACTTTAAAATTATTGAAGCATGTTACTATAAATGTACAATTATGAAGAATTTAAAGCTAAATTTCAGATTTATTGATAGAGTCAATTATGCAGAGCAGCCGGGGTTGCTGGGGCATTCACACTGCTTGCCAGGACTTGCATGCATGTCTCATGATCCTGCATTCCTGTGTTCTTTATAACATCCATCCTTTCTCTGAATGAACAGTTTCTGGCTAATTTGTCTATATTGTAAGCTTGATCTGGTGTTTTATTAAAATTAAACATGAATACTTGGCTGGATTCAAATAGTTTTGCTGATTGCAGTAAAACCGAGGAGACAATCATGGAGACTAGCATAGCCATGCTTTTTGCTTAAATTAAAAAATTACTTTATACAGAAAATTTTAACATGTTAATTAGAAGCTCATTTTTATTCCCTCATGTATGTTGGATACTACTTCCCATGCGCTCCAGGGACATCATGCAGAAGTATAAGCACAAAATTCTCTTTACATCTAGAAAGCAGTGATGAAGAATATCATAAATAGACAAAAACCAACCTATATTTGTACCTGCTTGCAATGGCCCTGATTTGGGTATTATATGCCAACTTTTGTGGATTTCCATATGTTTGAATATTAATCTGTTGAATATAACCTTGACTGGAAATAATTTTAAAATAAATCCTTTCTGTGATGCAACATTCAAGTAGAAAAGTGAATTTTAGTTGTGTTTAGAAACCAGCTTATGTAAACAGCACATACTATAAATGATACACTGTTTGTTAATATAATTTCCACCGTCATTTAAAAAAATCATAAACAGTAAATTTTTAAAAAGGTAAGGATACAGAACAGTCTCATGTGACATATTGGTGATTCCATGCTGAAGAAAGGATCACAATATGGTTAAATTAAGTATAAGGATATATTTAATAGAATTCATTAAAAAAAAAACGAGCACTTCTTTCTGAGGTTTGTTCAGTTACTGTCTGGTGAAGCATCTCATTCACCACAGTTTGGTCTGGAGCTACTTTTCTATTCTGGTTTTTTTTTTTTGAAACTACAGGATGAATTAGGCAGTTATAGTCATCTGCCTCACCAAGTGCATTGTTAGGGGTAAGGGAAAAAAACACAAAATGTAAACTATTCTCAGAAGTTGGATGTCCTTCTTTGTCATTTGAATCAAGTCTACATAACAAGAACTAGACAGTACTGTGACCAGCATTTACCCCGCCATCAGCTCTGTGCAAGAAGCTACATACATCAGGAAGCCCCAGGGTATCGTTAAACTGGCTGGGGTAGCCAAATTATTGAACAGATACCAGAATTTGGTGGATTATTTAGCAGGAAGAGAATAAGGTCAAATGTGCTTATGAAGAAAATCAACATAGCATTAAAGCTGAGAGTGCAGAAGAAATGTTTAGAAGACACCGTAAAATACATCTTCAAAAACCACGGCTGAGAACTGCTGGGAAATAGCAGCTCATCAACCAAAAATGGAGGTGAGCTATAAGAAACAGACATCAGCTTCTACCACCCTTGTGTCCAGGGGACAAGGATGAAAAAGCTTTTTGAATAGGAGCAATAGGCCAAATCAAAGCTAATTCTATGTCGTCATTTTAATTATCTCTGTACAAAGCTAGAAATCCTCAATAATATCATTTTGAACTAGTTATTAGCCATTATCTTTTAGTTATTAGGTTGGTATATATACACATGCCTATGTGTATACTAGACACATATACATACATATATACAGTGTAAAAAGATATTTCAAGGAAAACATCGATTTATAACCTACTGTCTTTTATGACCCAAGTGAACGCTCATAAGCAGCTTCTTCCAGAACTCAGATCACTGTATGTAGCCCTGCGTGTAGATCTGTGTCCGAGTCCGAGGCTGAGCTGGAGAGAATGAAGCACTAATTACTCTGAGGCTGGCGGGCCCAGGTCCTGCGAAGCCGGTAGATCTCGTTCGGCTACTTGGTCAGCTGCCAAGCTTCATGCCATTGTTTGCAAGGGGAACTGGGTGAACAAGTGTAGACGGATTACAGTAAATTCACCTTGCCTGTGAAAATAACAAAGATGCATCCTTTACTAAAGGTAAAGACAAAAGAATATGTGAGAAATATCTATATAGACTTGTCACTAAATATATAAGCATATAAATTAGTCTTTTATGGTAATCCACATGATTTTAAATATTTTGAACAACTCTTAAATATTAAAATGTTTCAAAATATAAAAATCAAAAGCCGGGGCAAGCAGAAAATGGAATTTTAAACATTTTGATTTCAAAAACGAAAACTCTCTTTAAATATGATGTGGAGACAATCTGAAAAGGCAGGAGATAGGACTTAAGGCATCAGGGATCCAAGGAAATACATATGGGTGTTCTGTAATCCATTTTTCACTTGTTGCATATGGTATAGTTGAATCATAAATCCTTTGCATCTGTAATTTTGCAGTGGTATGGGCAGTAGATACAGTTTATTTTCTGTCTGTAAGCTCAGTTACTTAGAGACAACAAGAATACAAGTGAAAAATCCAAGCAAGTTTTTCCTTTCTGTTCTGGACACCGTCGTCAAGCGTGGAAGACTGCCCCTGGAATTTCCCTTCACGTCCTGCCAAGTGGCCTCCCCCAGTTAGTTAGTTATGTTTTCTCCTGATGTTTTTTTAACCCTGGGATTGTTTTCAATCAGATGTATGGTTTCTTCAAATTACTGATCAATTTTTTTTTATCATCAGCCTGCAAGCTCTTTAAATGTTTGGAAAACGGTAGTTAAGTTTCTTGGTGTTGTAGTAGTACTTCTTATTATCCAAAGCTGGAAGGACACTGCTGCTGGTCAGCTGAGGTAGGTACTGCAACTGAAAATACAAAACACAGAAGTAAGTTCAATGATGTCTGCTTTTTTTTTATTATTGATAACACATCAAAAAATATAGAGTTTGGGCTTTCTTTGGGCACAAGCCACCCGTTCTCCCTGCTCAGCCCTGCACTAAACCTTTCTCTGCTCCCCCTGCCCCCCACCAAAAAAGATAAATAACTTTTTCAACTCAGAAATACTTTTTCTGCATAGAATCTAGGACCTGAGAGAGGACAAAATGTTTAAATTTGGTCTCTGCTTTTTGTTTTCAAGGTTTTTTTTTTTAATTACAAAGCAGAACATGCACATACATTAAAGGAAATTTGGAGAATATGAAAAAGAAGGGGAAATCTACATGTTAACTTTATTGGAAGAAAGCATAGCTTCTTGGGAGTTAAGAGCTTGCTGGGGCCTTAGGGATCATTTAAGACAATATCTTATCTTATAGCAAAGAAAACTGATGTCCAGAGCACTTAGGTGATTTGCCCACTTACAACCTTGGTTAAAAGGCAAAACTGCTCCTTTCATGCTGCCAGAAAATGTTTGACTTTATCGTCAATGTCAAATGAAAATAAGGGGAGCACACAGTTTTTTTTGAATTGTACTATACAGCCTTAGGAATCCGAAAAGTGGGTACTTTTTAGTACTTTTAAATCAACAGTTGAATTCTTTGGGACCTATAAGCAATATACAAATTAGTGGGGTTCTCCTATTCGTTTAAGTAAAAATATTTCTGTCAAGACCCTTTACTCTTTTTTTTTTTAAGTAGTAGTAGATTTATTTAGAGAGACGCATACTCCACAGAGTGCAGGCTGTTTCAGAAGGCGGGAGAAAGGCCACGAGGTGTGGGGCTTGGGTGCCCAATATTCATGCACTCCATAGACAGAGTGCAGGCCATCTCACTCAGAAGGGACAGCAGCCAAGATCCTTTACTCTTGAACACAAACAGCCAGGTAAGGGGTAACTCAGGGGAAAGTCTATTTCCAGTCTCTTGCATTAAAAGCATTCTTAATTTCATAACTCTGGTCTGTCTTAGGGCCCTGGATTTCATGCTATACCTGTTCCTGAGGGACTGTCCACCCTCTTTCTCCTCCAAACCTCACACGCTCCACCCAGCTGCCACTCAACGTGCTGGGTAGCAGAGGCTGTAAAGGGAAAGACTAAGGCAAGATAATTTGTAGCTTCAGGGGTACCCAGGCAGATCCAGAAGCGACCAGGAGCAGCCAGCTCATCTCAGCTATGGTTCCAACTATAGTCCGTTCTAAATATTACAGCTTTGGGCTTATGACAAGACACTTAAAAAAAGGCCATTCTGCCACTTTGCACCAATCACAGTTTTTCACAGGCTTCCAGTGTGCAGCTTGGATACCACGCTCGGGTCCAAAGTACTGTCCTGCTATCACCGAAAGCACCACATTTACCTACCAACTCTGATGATTAAAGAATCAGGGAGGAAAACAGTTCCTTTTTTCAATAAACCTGGAATGCCAGTCAATACTGAAGGTAAACATGAAGACAAAGGGCTGCCCTGGATAAGTTTGATTCCTTTTTCCAAAGCGCAAGCATGCTCAGCAGTACTCATACCCTTGTCCCTGGCTGGGACCTGTGCTCGGACACGCCAAAAGCCCCGGCCCCTGGGTGGCAGCAGGGAGCTGCCCGACAAGGGCACCTTTAGGATTCAGGTAGAAGGGCCTTTAGGAGGCATAGGTCTCTGGGACCCTGGTTGACAGTAATAAGGGTGCTAGAGCTGCAAGCCACAACTGCCACCTCAAGTATAGATTAGGACTCTCTGCACCAGGTGGCAGGCATGGGATCATTTGAAACAGCAACCTTGGATGCTTCTGTAAAGCAGTGCCCTGTCTTTACCCCTGGCAGGTGCGTTCGGCTCTGTCTCAGGGTCTTCCTTGTTGGTTTGTCATGCTCTTTTGTGAAGTCCCCTGTTTCTCTGATGCTGTCAAAATACGGGTGCTGCAACAGCTGCTCACATGTCAGTCTCTCGGCGGGATTCATGTGGAGACAGCCCTGCAAGAACAGAAAATTCCCTCTTACTTCTTTTAAGACGGTATTAACTTATTAATATCATTTTTTTTCTTCTTTGGAAGAATAAACTCTTCAGTTGGCAACAAAAGGAGGGGAAGAAGTAGGAAAAACACACCAATCATGATTTTTTCCTTCCACTATAATTCCTAAATGGGTAAACACATAATGAATTAATAGACAATTTCTAGGAATAGTAACAAAAAATCATTTTCTCTACCTTGTTCTTTTCCTGAGGCAGTCAGTGCTCTGCCCTGAGGGAGCAGGGTACGGTTTCTGAGTAACCTCAGTGTCCAACTAGAATAATCCACTTAACCCATTTGGTCCCTTGGATATACTTTGTAAAAACTAGTTTTTTCACTGAAAAAATAATACCGATACATGGTAGAAATAAAATTCATACAGGGTGCAGCAGAGTCTCTCCAGCACTCGAATTCTTCCATTCTCCCTCCTACAGTCAGTTGTTTTTCTGTATATTCTTCCAGAAATAGTCAATGCATACAAGCATCTATGTGTATATAGGGAAGGTGAGGCATAAAATACATCTCTTTAGATTACATCATTCTTAACTATTTGCTTTGCCAGGAAATGGGCCATAGGGCTCATACTTAGATAGATTAAATCCCACAACTACATACCCCAAGGAACTGTCTCATTTAAAAAAATTATAAATGCATCAGTAAATGTTTTAAATACTTTTTGAAATGGTTGGGACATTGACTGTAACTTGCCAATATTTCAATTAGCACCTCATTTTATATAAGGGCTATACATTTCTGAAGATGTATATATAAATCAAGTTTTAAAATCAAAACTAACTTCAAATATAGTAGGGAGTTGACTATTTAAAAGGATCCTGTGGCTAAACATTTTTTGAAGAAAAGGATCCTTTTGTAAAACAAACACCACCCCTCTGAAATTTCTGTTTTGTGTAAATTTAGATTTCAAATACAATATTAGATTTATTTCAAGTGACAAACACAGATGTTTTCACTGTGACCCATTTTAAAAATGGAAAACACATAGACTTTTCAAAGGAGAATTCTAAAAGGAACACTTTCCCATCCACGAACTGACATAAATCATTCAGATTCCCCAAAGATACAGCTGCCGCCTCCTTCCTGATCTGTTGGAAGCCATGATTTTACCTTTAAGAGCCCCAGGGCGGGATAAGAGATGTTTGGAAATTTAAATTCAAGTGGTTCCTATTTAAAAAAGAAAAGAAAAGGAGGGTTTTATTTACAGCATGTATTCAAATAGAAGGTTACCTCCCACTGGTTTTCTTTTGAGTAAGAGAAGCATCTTCTTGGCACCTTCTCTGCCTCCTCCACCCTCTGCCCCCGCCCGCCCCCCCCCCCAACAACCTCCCTACGCCTGTTTCATAAGCTCCTTCTCTCCCCACCTCCAAACTGCTTTTCCAAATTTTCTTCCTAACCAACCACTCACCCCCTTCACTTCCTGAAGAACTGATGCAAGTAGCAAATTGTGAGGGAATACGAATCAAAGGGGAAAAAAAACCCCACTTTTCCAGCAATTGTTATTTTATTTTTTTCTGCCTCAACTTACATAATTTGCCGTGCCTCGGAATAATTTTGACATTGATATTTATAAAAGAGGCCCTAATTACTGCTTTTCTTGACATTTACATAAGGGAGTTTCAAAATGGATTTTTTTTTCCTACCCAGGTGAACAGATGTTTCTTGGTTTTCTGGAATAAACACTGTTCTCTCCTCCCACAAGAGCCTGCTGTTTTCCTGATCATCCTACTGTTTAAAAGTCTCCCCAGCAGACATTCATCCATCTCCCTTTGGCCATTTAAGGGTATTTTGCTCCAGTCACAGGCAGGAGGCAATTAGGAATACAGAGCACTATAAAGTGGGAGGAATGCTGAATGTCAGGCGGACAGACAGGCCAGTTAAAGAGATAAACTGCTGATAAAGAGGCTAAAGAAGGGGGATCTGGGAAATGAAGAGCAAGCCAAGCTAAGTGAAATGAGGACCAGGGTGCACTGTGTGCATAAAGACGGCAGTTCATGGGCTGTGGGTTGGAGTGACAGGTCAGCCCATCGGATGAAACGCAACCCCTGGTGCTGCCATCAAGCTTGAGAGTCCAGTGTTGTTTGGGACAGAGAACCAGCCACAACCAACTCCCAGGTGTGCACTTATTCATCTCTGATAAGAAAAGAGGTAAGAGCCTCGGTTTTGAAATTCCCTAAGATCAATAGTGAAAAAAACCCTAATGCAGATTTGTATGAGCCTTTTAGAGTAGCTCCTCCTCTGCCCCCTCCCATGGCTTAACTATTTCTCTTGCTACTTCTGTGCATTCAGTCTGAGCACCGCTGGGGACTGACTGGACGTTGCTGACACTGAGCTCTGCTGCCTCAGCGAGGACGCCTGGGATGAGGCCGCTGGTGGGCTATGATAGGATGGGCCCGTCCTGCCGGCTTAGCCGGTTTCCCTGCCCCCGAAGCAAGCGGGCCTCCCTCCGGCAGGGTTACTGACCAGCAGAGGGACGCTGCACAGATGTTCAACCAGCGCAGCCCCCGCACTGCTTTTTCCTGTGTTTCTGTCAACAGGAAATCCCCTGCAGGACAACCTCTGGGAAACCACGGGAAGCCTTTCACGTTTATGAAACCTGGGTTGTTTCTGATACTTCATGGTAGACAAGCAAACAGGAAATCGCTAAGGGATTTTTAGTGTGAAACTGGGGACGTCCAGATCACAGGGGCACCGGCTGGGTCACCTGTCATATGCCAGGTGTCATTCCTGCTTCTGCGTCCCAGCAGGCTCCCAGCATGACCCGCTTTTCCTATCCTGGTGTTGCTGGAGGGGAGGTAGCAGGGAAGTGGGAGGTGGATGCATTCACTTTAGGACAGGCCAAGAAGCTGAGGGAACAGACAGCTCCAACGGAACTGGACGGAACCTCCATCTGGAAACTGAGCAACGGAGGATTAATTTCAATATCAAAGTACCTTTCTTAGACAGTAGAAACTCAGGATTTCACAGACCTTAACTGTGCTGTGAAATGTGTTTCATTATCATACAGCCTTATTAGAAGACATTCAAAAATATTAAAAAACCATAAAGGAAGAAACAAATCATCTCACCCCAAAGAGACATTCACTGTTAATATTTTGGTATATATCCTTGCTGCCATTTATTTCACAAATGTAAAAATCTTTGCATGATTTTCCAGAGGTTGTCACATTATATTTAGACATGTAAATATATGTATTGGGCTTTTATTTATTAAATATATTACAATTATGTCAAATTATAAGTATTATTTTTATATTTAGCAATATGTTACAGACTTTTTTCAGGTGATTACATATATAGTTATTTTTACTGGCTACGTGGGATTTCTGTTGTAAGGATATACCATAACTTATTTAATTAATCCCCTACTGATGGGACACTGAAGGAAATGATTTCTATTAAAGAATGCCATACCTGAAGGAGAGTATAGCTCAAGTGGTAGGGCGCATGCTTAGTATGCATGAGGTCCTGGGTTCAATCCCCAGTACCTCCTCTAAAAATAAACCTAATTACCTCCCTCCCCTGCAAAAAAAAAAAAAGGTATTCCATACCTTTATGCCCTTGTCTAATGGTTTCATTGGAAGAAATTCTTAAAAGTGGGTTAGGAAATGCACATTTTAAATTTTTTCAGTTTTTGCAAAATGAGTGTTTTCCCCACATTGGACATAGAGGGAGGTACCAGAGTGAGGTCGGCCAAGCAGGTTCATTACCGTTTTCCCCCATGGCCTGGGGGTGAGAGCACGGCAGGGTATGGGATTTGGATAGTGCCCACTTTTCCTGGATGAGTCATTGTCTAAAAGTTGACTGGCTCTGAACTACTTAGCTTCAACTGCTAAAAAGGATGAAGGGCAGGTGAGGCCGGGGCAGGCAGCTCCACATTCCTGTCCCACACACTGGCTAAGGTCTGCTATCAGCAGCCTTTAAATTAGCAGTAAAGGCCAGGGTCTTGCTAGCCAACTTGCCCCAACTTTCCTTTTCACTCTTAGACTGATTTTCCAGGGCAGAGTGGACCATAAGGCTCAGGCAGGGGACTAACTATGAAAACCTAGTTAGCTTGCAACTCCCCATAGACAACCATCCAGTGAGAACCATCACCACTTAAACACCCCGGTAACCTTCACTCTGACATGCAGAGCTCTTTCCAAAATGGATCACTCACCATATCCTCAGGGTCTGGAATTTTTACCCCACTGAAGTACTGATTCGTGCTAAATACTTGCTGGTGCCTAGGAATGAGATCTCCTTTGGACAAGAAGAAACAAGGAGGTAAAATTAGATCAGTTAGCAAGCACTGCCTTGTGGTTTTCCTCTATCGGTGCTGTGTCCGTCAGTGCCTACACCGACCAAGGCTGAGTCTGCTTCTCCAGTCAGAGGGGAAGGCACTGAGGGAACCCCAGCAACCTGCACGGAGACCCACAGTGGGCTAAGTCTATGTAGGGAACTAGGGAGACGTGCGAGGAAGGTGAAGGCTGCAAGGTTCTCTTAAGGGCTCACAAAGTGTCTGAGGAATACAAAACGCACGCACACACAAATTAAAAAATGCCTTTTTAAAAATAGCAAAAATGCAGCAACCACAAATCAACATCATATTCGCTGAATACTGATGGGTCAAGATAAAACTGTATTGGACACACTTAGAACAGTGCCTGACACACAGCAAGCATTCAATAAATATTTGGGGAAGGAAGGAAGGAGGAAGGAAGGGAAGGAGGAAAGAAAGGCAGGCAGGCAGGCATGGAAGATCCAGCTAGAAGGAACAGGTTTCCAAATTGGAACCACCTTTACATGTTTCACTGGTGATCGCTTGGAAATCCTATTGTATATACTGTTTAGAAGCACTGATGATGTGAAGTAATGAAACAAAAGGAGCAATTCTATATTCTGGGGAATTATGTGAGGCTTACCCTGTCCACATTTCAGCCAAGCCAGCTAAACTCACCCTTGTGTAAAGTTCCAGGGATATTACGTTTGAAGAGGAATTTTTTTTCTTTTGTGTGTTGGGGGGGGTAATTATTTATTTATTTATTTACTATTTTTAGAGGAGGTACTGGGGATTGAACCCGGGACCTCATGCTTGCCAAGCATCCACTCTACCACTTGAGCTATACCTCCCCTTGAAGAGGAATTTTGTTCAGAGAATATACAGAGATACTCAGAAGGTGCCCTTGGGGCACACCCCAGCCCACTTCGCAGAGCAGAATGAACAACAAAAATCTACCAATCAGGGCAAAGTAAAACAAGGAGGGTGGCATCAGAATAGCCTTTCTTCCTGACACTTAGCAGGTTGAGCATCTTCTCTGTAGCGTCTGAATAATCCGAACTAGCCTGGCCGGCTGGAGTCAAGGACATTCAGAGAATGAATTACCACAATGAAACAAAACACAAGAGCATCCTGTAAGCTGCCAGGCCCTTATGGAAATGTATGTTTTTACTGTTGTTATGATCATTATTTGGAGTTTAACTTGATTCAAACTATGCTGAAGAGAGAATCTTATGTCTTTTTGGACAATTGGTACAGACTCAACATTGTTGATTCTTTTTATTAAAACAAACACAGATACCTTTCATGGAGCCCTTTCAATGAGACTGAGAGTCTTCCTCTCTCGTCACAGTACAGGGCACCAGGTGAGACTAGGAACTTGGCTCTGCCCTGCATGAGTCAAACTATCCAGTTTCCCAAAAAGTGGGACAAAAACACCACTTACCCAGAGTTTTCCTAATCAGATAGAGCTGATCCACATCTGATTTTCCTGGCCACAGGGGCACCCCTGACAGCAGCTCAGCAAAGACACAGCCAATTGCCCAAACATCTACCGGGGGGCCGTACTGTGTGTCCCCCACCAGAAGCTCCGGGGAGCGGTACCACCTGGTAGCCACGTAGTCTGTGTAGTAGTCACTCGGTCCAGCTGGCCAGTGGTGGGACATGGAACAGAGAGAGAGCAACGCCAGTGAGAAATCAAAACTGAGAGGGAGACCTGAGGAATCAAGCTCATGCCCCGTCTGTGGCTTTTCTAAATCAGTGGTTCGCAATACTGGTTGCACATTAAAATCACTTGGAATAGAGTATTTTTTAAATTACTGCTGTTTGGGCCCCACTCCAGTCCAATTAAACCAGAATCCCTGGAGAGGTATCAGTGTAGTTTTTATAGTCAGAGTTTATAGTTTCCCAGATGATTCTGATCTGCACCCAAAGTTGAAAACGACTCTTCTAAAAAGTACTATTTTAGGGGGAAAAAGAAGGTAGAAATCAGGAGGGTAACGTACTTTTTAATAAGCACTTTACTGTGGTAGAATTTATATACAGCATACGTTTTTAAACCACTGTATGGCTACATGTTTTCAATAATTGCAGAATTGTAATTTATAGCAAACTATGCCCTAAATATCCAAAAACTAGCTTTCTATAGCATTTATCGTATAAAGAATCTTTCTGGCTTTGACATTTAACTAAAGAAATCTTCAATACTCACTCAAAAGCCGAGCAAATCCAAAGTCACAAAGTTTAATCACTGAATGTTTTGTGATAAGGATGTTTTCCGGCTTCACATCTCTATGTATGCACTAGTCACAAAAATCAAACCAAAAGAGATTATAAAGGAGCAACTATAACATATGGGCTAAATAAAACATGAATATTTAGCAAATATTTGAGGAATCATTTGAATGTCTCTCACTGGTCTTTTGGATAACAGGCGACAAAACAGCAGCCTGACACAAACCTAGTACCATGGCTGTCAGAGCCTGAACTGGCCCACATTCCTGAAGGGCCCCCGAGGGACCAACAAGTGTGAAAGGAAAAGTGAAAGAAGGGTGGCCAGATAAACAATACTGTTCTTAGTGTAAGTACATCCCATGCAGTATTTGGGACATATTTATACTAAAATATTGTGACTGTTCATCTTAAATTCAAATTTAACTGGGTGTCCTATTTAATCTGGCTGCCTTTCGGTGACTGGGAAGATGTTAAAAGGCTCTGGCTGAGGCCTGCATCATGGTTGCAAGAGCTGCAAATTGGTGCATAAGCGGAATTCACAATCCAGCTGTTTAACTGAGAACAGAACACACTCCATCTGGTAAACAGGACAAGCCCTGGGCCTGCTGAGATAAGCTGGGGCAGAGAAGGGCGGGCAGCAGGCTCCGGCCAAGAGACCTCCCTTCCCGCTCTGACACTAGCTCTGACATTCGTCCCCACAAGATAAACAAGCGTAGGCAGCGCTCACCCTCTGGGGAGTCGCTAGATGTCAGCTCCATCCCACACACATCAAGTCTTACTGCTGCCTTCGCCCCACGGGATGCAGCCCCCGCCCCATAGTTTAGACACAAATCACCTATGGTTTCCAAACCACAGCTGACATTGTTTACTAGCGGGCCCTTAGAGGAATGTGGAAGAATCTTCACATTTTCTTATTAAGTAACAATTTTGCGGGGACAAGCAACAAATCAACAACCTAATTGACAATCACATAAAAACAACAGTTGGGTCAAAATACTGTTCAGGTTCCTAACCATCTTCCCTTCTTCCAAGCCTTTTCCTCTCTGGAGAAGAATGCTGGCTCCTTCTGCCATCGGACAGGCCCTCGGACGTTTGCCGCCCACACCCCGGGGGGTTCTTGACTTTCTAGAACTTGGAGAGAGGACAGAGGTCCCTCTTGGGCCTGGCCTAGTTCTCACTCCAAAGGACCTTCAGGGTGAGAGCTCAGCGTCAGTGTTTCCCCACGGGTATTTATTATTCTGGAAGCGTTTGGGGAGACAATTTCTGAACTACTGTGTTACAGTCTAGCTGGTTCTCAGCAATTAATGGCCCTGAGATCTCCACTCTTTTACCACTGGCTTCCTATATTACTATAAATGGGTACACCCTTGACTATCATGCTGACAGATGGCCAGAAGTACTCGTAAGCAAGAAAGAGCTCCTATTCTGTTCTGAGAATTCTTTACAAGTTTCTGCAACCCTCGCCCCATGCACATGTGGCCAAACAGCTTCAGGGGCTCTCCAGGGAACTGTGGTATGCGTTACATTTGTTCTTAGTGTCTCTGCTTTTCCCCACCAGGGACTTTCTGTAGGCTCTCCTACTCTCCCAACATAAAACTCACTCTCAGGAAACCACCAATCCTCACTCGCAGAAAAGGGCAACACGTGTAAGGGGTCCACGCTCCCTGGTAAACGTGCATTTGGACGAGGATCGTAGCCTTCAGCGAGGTGGACAAGTGCTAGCTACTCTCACATTTAATTCTGGGAAGGCAGTTTCAGGAAAAAAAATCATTTAGAACAGTGAGAGGAAGGGGATTCAGCCCCACCAGCTAAAGTGAGCCTGGCAGTTGTTAGGACAACGACGCAGGGTGGTGAAATTGCCCTTGAGGCCAGACTGAAGCTCTGATATTGGAGTCTGGCTTCTGGGTGCAGGGAGCAGGCAGTGTTGTACTGGAGGGAGCAGCAAGTTTCCTGGCATCTGTGGAGTCACATCACCTGGGCAGCGGTCCACTGTGCCTTCCCCTAGGCCTAGCAGAGGCCCAGTGTTCAAGGTTTCCACTGGCTGCTTCGTTGCACACTGGGCGCTCCTGGCTCACCAAAGCAGGCACTAGCACACGTGCATTGCACGTGGACTCCACCTACTGCAACTCAACGTGCACAAGTCACCTGAGGTTCCCCAACCCAACTGCAGAGTATTTCAGGCCAACACCGACTCCACGTGAGTGGAACTCTACCTTAAATCTGAGTCGTTTCTAATCACTGTAAATATAACCACTTTCTTAAAATCATACAGATGCACCTTTAAAACCTGAACAAAAAGGAACAGCTAGGTTGGCATTTTTAGCTTCGACTTACCCCAATGAGGCTTAAGAAGATTTGGGTGAAAAATTCTATCCACAAAACTATGATATAAACTTTGTTCAAAGGCTCCCCTTCAGCTTCAGGGCAGCCTTCTGATTTTTTAGAGGGAGATCATGAGACTTACGTTGTGTTTATGGCAAAAATTTACAGCTTGTAATGTCTGCCAAGTTATGCTCTTCACGAGATGTTCTGGTACCCTAGTAAAAAAAAAAAAGAAGAAGAAGAGGAAGCAACACAGACACATTCTTTAGTGTTGCCATGGAATTCATGGAAAGTAAACCAAGACAGGCTTAAGCAGTGAAAAATCCTAGGTGACACATAGTCATCTAACTTGTGGCACCGGCATTCCAAGGATCCAAAGTGTAAAGAGCATGTGATCGGAACATCGCTTAAGTCCAGGGACAGCAAGGTCACAGCAATGCTAGCTAACATCTCTGTCTAGAGGGAGGGCCCATGAGACCCACAGGCATTTTAACAAGTACTCATGACCACCTGGAACATCTGGGACACCTCTGGGAACTGCCTGGTAAATGGGGCTCCATTTCTACAGGGAGCTTTTCACTGATACAAAGTGAGTAAACGTCGAGCATAAAAGACGCTGTTTATTCTTTCAAGTTGCCCCAGCTGATTGCCTTGAAGCAGAACTCGTTTTCCACAGATGGGCACCTGGTTTCTTCAGGCTCCCTAGGCAGCATTATTTTTTTTTAAGGTAATGAAGATTTTACTGCAGGTAAGGAAGAGGTTTAGACTGCGCACCATGCAACAAAGTTCCTACAATTCAACGCCCACATAGGCATCTTGGTTCCTTCCTCACACTGCTCCTCTGTGGTGGCCAGCCGCCTCCTGCTCACATCTTCCTGCCGTGTCCCCCATCACGGCATCTAAACCTTATGCCACTGTTCCCAGCTCTGCCTCCCTGACTCTAAGCTTACATCACCAGGGCAACCAGTGGCCTCAGCAGATCCTTTGTGCAACTCAAAAAACACCTCCTCCTCTGAAAGCATTTTTTTTAAAAAAAATATTAGGCCATGAGCAAAATGAACTACAGAGTACATTTATTTTCAGAGACACCCCGCCCCCCACCAGTTGGACTTATTATTTTTACGAATCAAACGTTAAACAACATTGTTGTGGTCCTCAGCCAGAACAAGTAAGTACACCAGGGAGGAAACTCTTGAGTATTTGTGTCAAGGTGACCCAAAAAAGTCACTTCCAGCCTCTGGGAGGGGCTCTGAGGCCACTGTTGTCGCAGGCCAGATGTTCAGGAAATCCTGCCAAGCAGATAAGAGGATGCTGGAACAGTGGGACAATGTGGAGGAAATGAAGAGGCCACTTCCAGGAAGAAGAGCTGGGACATTCCTGGCCTGAAGGAACTTTTCTCTAAATTCTCTTCCTTATTCTGGTGGCACGAGTGCCAAAAAAACTCACCTGTCTCGAAAGAAGGCCTAGAAAAATACAACACAGAAGACATTTCAGGGAAAGTACTTTCCCCCGGCCTCCACCTTTTTCCAGAAAAGATTTTGATTATTTAATGAATTAAGTATTAATGTAAGATTATTCAGTACCAGGCAATTTTGACCTCTAAGAACACTTCCCAAAAGAAATTATGCAAAAGGAGCATTTAAAAGTAAATGATAAAAGCATTAGTGAATGCTCCTCTAAGGCTGAGCACAGTTACACAATTCTCAAAAGCAAAAACTCCATATGAGCTACCTACTGTCATCTTAGGTTGGCTACTCACTTCATTTCTTTCTTTTTTTTTTAACTGAAAATTTTCTAAGTTTTTTTTTAAGTATAGTTGATTTACAATGTTGTTAGTGTCAGGTGTACACTGTGATTCAGTTATATATATATAAATCTATTCTTTTTCAGATTATTTTCCGTTATAGGTAATTATAAGGTATTGAATATAGTTCCCTGTGCTATACAGTCGGACCTGTTGTTTATCTAGTTTATATATAGTAGTGTGTAGATATCTGTTAATCTCAAACTCCTAATTTACCCCTCCCTGCCCCCTTTCCCCTTTGGTAACCATAAGTTTGTTTTTTTTTTTCCATGTCAGTGAGTCTATTTCTGATTTGTAAATAAAATTTGTTATCTTTTTTAGATTCCACATATAAGTGATATCATATGATAGCTGTCTTTCTCTGACTTACTTCACTTCATATGATAATTTCTAGGTCCATCCATGTTGCTGCAAGTGACATTATTTCATTCTTTTTTATGGCTGAATTATTCCATTGTATAAATATACCACATGTTCTTTATCCAATCATCTATTGATGGACATTTAGGTTGCTTCCATGTCTTGGCTATTGTAAACAGTGCTGCTATGAACACTGGGGTACATGTATCTTTTTGAATTAGAGTTTTCTCTGGATATATGCCCAAGTCACTTCACTTCTTTATTCCTCTGTTTCTTCTCTGGAATGCCAGGGCCTCAGACCCTATCTCTAAGATCCTTTTTAGCTGATGATGATAGAAGCTAAGCTTTTCACCGTTGGAGAAGGGAGTTACATATACGGAAAGGAAGAAAAACAGAATCTATTCCATGGTGTTGTATTGGGGCTGAATACACAGGTCTGCACAGAGGGTGCTGTGCTGGAAAGGGTGCTATCTTATACAGGTGCCCCAGAAAGCTTCTCTGCTTAAGACGACATTTGACGTAGTGGTGAAGGTGATGAGAAGTGGCCAGAGTGGGGCTATATTTTAAAAACAGTCTTTTGGATTTTCTGAGAGACTGGATGTGAGAGGCAGAGAGGAATCAAGGAATGATACCAAGGTTTTAGCGTGAGAAGCTGGTTCCTGGTAGGACCCTTTACTGTGGAGAATGATGGGGGAGGAGCTGGTTTCAGGGAGGAGAGGGTGGATTGGTTGAGATGGGTCTCAGTCGTACACGGGAAGACTCTGGGAAGAGAGTTCTGAATTCAGAAAGAAGGTCCAGCTGGAAATATACACCTGGGAAGCATAAGCAAATTGATGGCATTTAGAGCCTTAGGACCAAACGAAGCCACTGAGGAGGGAATACAGAAAAAGGAGAGAACGTCAAGCCCCAGGGCCCGGCAGCATGTAGAGATCAGAAGACCGGGGTTGAGCACCACGTGAACTAAGAGGACACTCAGAGGAACGCAGTGTTACTGAAGCCAACGGACAAAAGCATCTCAAAGGACTTCTGGGCTAAGATGGTGGGTTGACCACACCCATCTAATTTCACCTCCTCCTAAGACCTGACTAGAACTACACGGAAGGTAAAGAGAAATACAAGACATGATCGCACCCTTTGGCAGCTTGCAGTACCTTTGGCAAGACAAGACGTGGTGAGAGCAGTGGGAGCCACAGCGGTTCCTCTGGACCCCCTGGGCTGTGGCTCAGCTCAGCAGAGGCACTCCTTTGGGGAGAGGGGAATGGAATTTGTCCTCCGCTGGTGGGAAGAGGGGGGAAGTGCCTGCTGGGCCCTCCACCAGCGTGACCTCATAGAGTTCTTCCTGCCTGCTTTGGGAATTTCATCCCCAGGAATGTGTAAGATTCCCAAGTGTTTGGCTCCAAGGAGGAGTGAGGGACTGTCATTAGAAATGTCTGCGGTCTGGATGTCTGTGTGACTGTACTGTCTCTTCAACCAGTTGGAGAAGGATATGCGTGGCCACAATAAGTAAGTAAACCCAGAGGGAGGAAGACAGAAGATCCAGAGAGCAGTGAAACCAACCAGAGAGGAATGCAGAGGGGATTCCAAGGATGACAGCAAAGGGAAGTCCCAGGAGGACAGCTGGTCGGCCGCCTGAAGTACAACCAGCCAGCCAGCCAGAGAGTGGGGGTCTAACGGCAGGCCGTCACCAAGGGGGAGAAAAGGAACTAACGGATTATCTGATGTGATTATCCTGTGAGAAAGTATGCTGAGAGGCTATTAAAAACAGGGGGACAAGTTAGCAATAGGGTTGAATAATAAGCAAGTTTAAGCACGGCAAATATTAATTTGCAGAAAAAGCACAAAAAGAAACCCTAGTATGGTAAAATGCTCAACTAGTACAAGTTACATAGGCATGCTAATGGAAACGGTGAATACTGAATTAATAAAATTTTAATGCAACTGTTTGGTGGGGAGAAGTAAGGGGAAGCAGAGGAAATGATGGTGTAAGAGCTAAAGCCTCCTCTATCATAACAGGAAGTCTGTAGATAATGTCTAAAAATTAATACATCAAGAAATAGTGGTATGTCACTCTTTTTGTTACACTCTGTGGCTAGGTTTAATTTGCTAAGGATTTGAGCACCTAAGTTCAGGAGGGATATTCATCTGTCATTTTCTTGTCTTGAAATGTCCTCGTCTAGTTTGGTATCAGGCTCTACTGGCCTCAAAAAATGATTTGGGAAATGTTTCTTCTTCCTGTATTTTCTGAAAGAGTTTGTGTAGGATTGCTGTCTTCCTTACATGTTTGATGGAATTCATTCATCATATATTTTAATAATAGGCACCAAAGTGGTATAACTATATGGAAAAATATATATAAATCTGTATCATTGGTGATAAGGTAGATTTGTTCAGTTTGGCAAAACTTATGAGCCAATAATCCCATTTTGAGAACTTCTAAAGAAAAAGTGCAAAAGAAGAAAAATCTATTTGTAGGAAGATTTTGATAGCAGAATCATTTATCAGGCAAAATACTGGAGATAGCCTCAATGTTCAACAACAGAGGAATAGTGAGAGGGTAATATAACTAGATGTAATATCTTATAGTTATTAATAATGGATCTAAAAATTATATGTAGAAATGCATATGAAAGAATAAGAATTGGGGCGGCCATCAGTCATCCCATCACAGCAACACTGAGAAAGTGGTACTTTGTTTGGAAGGACAACGGGCAGGTTGGCTCCTTTTACAATGGTTTCTCGGCTTGCCGATGCAGACACTTAATTTTGTTAGCACACCAAGACAGTATCCATTTCAAAAGGGCAGGTGAACATTAAACAAATTTACTAGCCTGATATATAAAACCAGAAAGCCAATTTCTTCATCCATGTTCAAATTCTGAGTGCCAGTTTATGCTCTCCTGGTAGGCAATTCCGTAAAGGAAGTCAAGTTATAATTAGAATGGTGTTTGGTGAGCAAAGAGTCAGAATGAGAAAAAGTACATAATTTAACTGGTTATTGCCTTTAGGATGAGATGGCTTAATTGCACCTGTCTCCAAATCAGGAAGGTCTTG